TCCTCCTTCCCCCACCTCCTCCTCCTCCTCCTCCTCGTCATCATCGTCATCATCATCGTCATCATCATCATCGTCATCATCATCATCATCATCATCATCATCATCATCCTTCTCCTCCTCCTCCTCTCAGGAATGCTTTGGAAGTCACCAAACTATGGCGACCATTTTCTGGCTAATTTATCTCTGGTAGCTGGCACCGGGCGACCCCCAACTCCTTCAGTCACAAATAAATATCTTGGCTTCTACTCTAGATAGATAGGTCTTTTTTCATCAAAAGCAAGATAGATGAAAAAGCCTTAAAAGGATGCCAATGACTCCATATGCCCAGAAACGAGCGAGCACCGGATCTAGCCATGTCGTGACACAATTTATGGTCAAAGTAAAAACCTGGGCCGGGGGGGGGGGGGGGTGTTATCTTCTCACCTAAAAGTAACATTTTCAGAACCTCTCTTGATGTAATCTATGCCACTGAGCTCAAAACATCCTGCTGGTGTAAAACAGTAATAATTCTGTCTTCTTCTCCATCCACTTTTGAACTGTTTCAAAGCCGTTCAGCTCATGCTGGTAAATAAATTGGTTACATCAAACTTTGAAAAGGACATATATAATATAGTGTAAAGCGCATAGAGCCTGCTGTTGAGCTGGGATATGCGCTACACAAATGCTATTTATTATTTATTATATTTATTATACATCTGTGTATAGCATGAAAGTCTATGTCATGGATTCTAACAAAATTACCTAACGGCCATGTGTGTATAGGGTGAACAGTAATAGACCCAGGACAGAACCTTGGCTTACTCAACCTTGGCGTACTCAACCTTGGCGTACTCCACAAAACAACACAATTTTCGATGGACTTTGTGACATTGACACAAGCTCGCTATGTGCGATCACTCAAATACAACATAAAACCACTCAAGCACAAATCTAGAAAAGCCAAAAGTTTTACGTAAATATTCCAGAAGAATCGAATGGTCAACCATAATGTAAAGCAACACTAAGATCGAAAAGTACAGGGTATCCACATGAATGGATTCCCAGACGAGCGCAATGCGACTGATACATACATTCATAATTTATATATATATAGATTCATCCTTTCCACCAGTAAGTCTAAGTTTGATAAAAGTATCGAAACTCATTCAACTGCTGAGTGATGCAGTGTGTGTCAGACCTGCCAACAACAATCAGCCTCAATATAAAATTGCATAAGATGATACGGCCGTCAAATGTCTCCAGCTCAACTGCAAAAGCGCGAACAATACCCAACCGAAACGCAGATGTTGGAAAATGTTGATGTAGCTATTACTACTACTCCATGCAAAAGATGTGTTGTGGTTGCCTGTAACTGTAACCCCGCTAGATAGATACAGATAATAAGTGACTTTTTTCCTCTTTGGAGAGTGAGGGGCACTAAATTACCCCACCGGACGCAAAAATGTCGTTTTGAAATGTGACCAAAGGTCAAAAAGATACATCCCCATTAGCAATTTGCTTTTCATAGCAGTCTGTCAAAATGATTTATTGAGGAATTATGAAAGTCTCAAAGAGAAGTTCGTGCTAGAAGTGTTCTACAATGTGAAAAATACATCCCCTGGGATACAAAATGACCCCAGACGTATGGATAGGGTTAAATGTTAAAGCTCACGAGAACCAGCACTATCCTCACCCCCAACATCCTCCAACGTATGTTCGGTTTCAGTTATAAATTGATCAATTAATATTGATGTCAGCAAGATGTAAAGGTCTGTGTCTCCTATTTCCCTCTAATGTTAGTTAACCAAACACAGCTGCGCCTGGTATGGCGCGTTCTTTATTTTTTTTTTAAAAACAGGACCAAAAGGCCAGTGTGACCTAATAGGCTATAAACTTGATCTTTTTTGACAAACATATGGTTTTTTAGCCACTGCGTTCCAAGTTTTGACCTTATACTTATAGCATTGTGCGGTCAAAAATTCGTGGTGCAATTTATTGTCAAAATTTCCTCAACTATCGAACATAATGTCTCCAGCTTTTGCAGAATAGACTTGTATCAATTTGTATTAACTGATCAACATTTAAAAAATATTTGTTATAGATTCTAGGACATTTCTTAATAAATACTTCATGTGTAATTTAAAATACCAGTTGGTGGTTTCTACATATTGTAAAAGGTTTACATCCCATTAGCTGGGGGTAATCTAAATGCAAGTCTGTCTTTTCTTCTAGTTGCGACAAAATGTGAGGCATCGTGGTGGAATCAGACTCTCGTCAGAATAATCAAAGTGAAGAAACTTGCATTTTTCATCAGGTTTGTGAATTTTTTTCAAATTGTTGTTTTTTGCTCAACACCTTTCATGCCCATTAAAAAACTCATTTCTGTGTGGATTTTTCTGAAAAATGTGATTAAAGGTACACACAATGTAAATTTTCAGTTACCACGGACTCTTAAGATAAGATAATAACTAGTCTTCGGCTGTCATTTTTTCACTAATTTTACCTCTAAAAATAGGTGACCCCCACCTCCTTCATTTGCGAATATCTCGACCTGTATTCAAGATAAAAGGATGTTTTTTTCATCCAAATAAAGACAATTGAACAAGCTTTAAGTTGATACCAATAACTCTACATGCCCAAAAATTGACGAGAGCCTGATTCCACCACGCTGCATCACAAATGCTTAATGAACTCATGTTTTGAGAACCTTTAGTGCAAAAAAAAAGTGTTCACTATAAAGTGCCCCATGCACGCTCAAATTTGTTTGATGGTGTGATCAAATATGTTTGACACAAATTTTTAAAATAGATTTTTGATCGTGCATTGGCGTGTTTGATGGTCAAAATAATATGATGTCAAATATTTAACTGATCTGTTTTCAGTTGATATTTTTTGTCAAACCGTCAAACTTTTTGATCGTGTGTCGGCTTCGTCAAATTTATTTGTGCAAACATTATTTTTTAAGTTGCAGCCAGATAGAAAAGATCTACCTTTTACATTGTCATCATCTTGGCGCCCTCAAAGGAAGAAAAAAAAATTATATTCTGGGACTGCTTGAAGTGTACCAGAGTTTGCCTGAACTATGGAAAGTAAAGAATACCGTGACCGAGATTTTTAAAAAGAAGATGTGTACGACACTCTGCTGCTGAAATACCGGGAGTGGTATGCAGATGTCGCAAAAGAATTTTTTTTTTTTTTAATTAACTCAATACGGACGAGTTTTCCGAGGGAGTTGAAGAAATTGGATGATTCTCAAAAGTCTGGGGCCGGTGCAGATGATATCTACGAGCCTTCATTGTGTTTTTAAAGCTCTTTTATTCCTGTAGTCAAGAAACACCGGCGCGGTCACTTTCTTTTCTTTTTTGTTTTTCTCCGCAAGGCTAAAGCAAGAGCCAACGCTGTTGGTCCGTCCATTACAAACTCTTGGCACAAACTAATGTTTGACCCCAAAAAAATTGAACGTGTAGGGCAAACGTCAAACTGTCCCAAAAAAAATTTGATCGAAAATGTTTGACAAACAAATTTGAACGTGTATGGGGCACTTAATAAACAAAATGACTGTTTTGTAACTAGTTTTTTTTTTCCACTAAAGACTGTCACTGGTGAGCAGTGAGTTAGGGCGACCACATAGAGAAAAGCCGTTCGCCCACGCTCACACAAGCGCACTGCCCGAGGCAGTGGAATTAAAAGAATCCCCATTGGCGCGCATATGACCTTATGCAGTTGCGAGCGCCGTAAAACACTCTACTAATACTATAAAAAAAGAATCCTCAAATGAAAACTGTTGTGTCCCACCTAGATAAGACTGTCAAAGAGGACGCGCCAGTGAGGTGCTGCACTGACGTTTCTCGCGGAATCCAAACTACATTCTTTCCAAGGCCGTCCAAAGCTGTCTGTGGCCGTGTTTTTCACGTTGCTGTTGTACCAAAGCAATGCTTCTACTTACGCGCCTACAGTTTGATGTAGGCCTAGCAAGTTATTCAAACATGGACACAGATGCGCTCAGATAATGGGACAAACGTAACTAAGTCCCCATTGTACATGTATTTTTATTGGTAGAATACGAATACAATATTATAGGACGCCGTACACTTAATGATAAAGATGAATATGATGGCGATGATAGTGACATTTATAAAACCGCGCGCTGACCCTCCCTCCCCACCCCCATCTCTCTCTCTCTTTCTCTCTCTCTCTCTCTCTCTCTCATAATTTGTCCAGCGTAATCTAGTTATTATAGACTAAAAGGTTCTGGGCGATATATGAGGTTAAAATGTCTCTCACGCCTTTAGCATTATTAATGGTTCTACCAGCAAGCTCCTTTGTCACACCCGATCACTGGAATGATACTTCAGTACGATTTTGGACAACGCCTTCCCTGTCTATGAAGAATGCATTCACTTAATGATAAACGGTCGTGTGTAACAGCGTTCCTCATTTGGGGTCAAGCAGGCCCTTTCCGAAGCTTAATGCGACTGACAACGCGGCTGTTGAAAGAACGGCCTCGAGAGGCTTTCTCTATGTGGTCGCCCGTAGGCTCACAAAAGTCTATACGGGGTGCCTACTACGTATGGGATCGCCCGATCGCCCGACCCGATTGCCTCAAAAACAAACATGTTTGTTTTCAGTTTCAGGCGTTCGAGTCGGGCGATCGGCCCGATCCACCCCTAGTGGGCACTCTACCTCCTTTTGTGTTGTATGATATGAGGTATTCCTTCTTTTGCCTGACCGCGGTTAAAACAAGATAAAATAAAATCGCTACACTCAGTCTTCTCAGATCTTTTTCAAACGGGTCCAAAATCTGGATGACTAACAGAATCTAAAAGCCTATTAATAAAGGTCACTGCAAACTAAGGTTCCAACACGTATTCTTTGATGAAAGCATACACCTAAAACATTCAAAAGTTGACATATTTTCCTCAACACCACACTTTAACGTTCGCCTAAGAAACACGATTCAAGAGATGGGGTGAGTAATTTTCGAGACTCTCACGGAGCACGTGGTGACGTCCAGACAGCCGGGGGATGAAATCGACAAGTTTACTCTGAAATGTGGTGACAGGACTGTGTCGCTGTCGCAAAAGGAGCAATTTGTAGGCAAGCTTATGGTAAGTCGTTTATTTTAGTGATCCTGAGTATGCTTCCAAAGAGCGGTTTTTAATAAAGGGCTCAAAGAGAAAAACTTTTTTATCACCGGATCAAGATTTTTGGGAAAAATAATTTTGTTTGATCGCTGGCCTGCAAAAGTGCCATGCAAAGTTTCGTGGGCATAGGTAAGTTAGTAAATGAGCTAGAATTTTTTTAACACTGTCAGACAAAAGTTAACAAGCTGGAGCAGTTTCTGTTGTTGGCTCCACCGCAGTTATCAAAGATCACAGTGTCAGCTTCTCAGCAGTCCAGCGTCTGGTTGGGGGAACCACGTACTCCCATGTTCTTCATTGATTACAATGATAAAAAGGGAATGTAGAGGTTTTACGTCCCTCTTGCCACAAATTGGATCATTTTAGAGATCGGCAGCTTTGGTCATGACAGTTAGTGTTGTATTGCTGGTAAAATTGCAACAGGAAGTTGAGATTATTTCATAACGAAATCAGGTCTGCTGAAGTTCATGTAATAATCATTATTAATTCTTAAGTACATTGAGCTTGATGTTGAGTGGGAATTTGCGCTATACAAAATGCTATTTATTATTATTATTATTATTATTATTATTATTATTATTATTATTATTATCACGACCAACCTGAGCTGAAAGAGACACAATGTCCTAGCAGTCCCAGCAGACACATGAGAAAATCCTTGATAAAAACTCTACCACATAGTTCTGCGTGCAACAAAATATAGACCTAAACGCCTTATCATTTATCCACCTGCTTGTCAAACTCGGTCACACAATATAGCAGGTACCATACAACATATAGCCCGCGTGTCCACCAAGCCGGAAACCGTCCGTCCAAATGTCGTCCGTCTCTCGGCTAGCCAGTAGTTGAAATGGGGCAACAGTATTTACGTTGTCAATCAGCGAGATATCCGTTTGGAGGTGTCCTCCAAAACGACACGACTGCTCCCTGTATAAGCCGGTAGGTTGGTGGACTGCAGTGTGTGGCATTTGTGTCTGGTCATGTTGTGACTCATCAGCTATAGCCAGCGAAGGCGAACAAAAATGTATTTATAATCTTAAGATCTGATATAAACACCTATGTTATATTCGTTATCAGAGCCTCAAAGTAAGCAAATTATTGGCGTAAACCACTGATTTAAATGCATGTTAACAATAATTGTTTATTTATTTTTAAAATCATTCACGGTTTGATATTCCCGCCTTGCGTTTCGTAACTTTTGACCTGCTCATGCATGTTGGAAACGAACGGACAGAATTCTCCCACTGACAAGAAATAAGGTCGTTTCTGGTTTGGTCGTAGACTTTCGGACAGATGCAAACCTAGGCTATTTACTACAGGCCGCGTATCCCGGACGGTTGGCTTCAGCATTGAAGACGTCAGGTTCTTTGTTTGTTTTGGTACGTGTTTTTCGGCAATCGCAACTGTGCAATGTCGTATTAGCGCGCAGAACACATTAAACATTTTCAGTTTGATAGGAATTAATTTTGAATTTTGTCTGGGTGGCTGCCGAAACCTACTCTTATCGATTTTGGACCACCAAAGGATCTTTAACGTGCGCAACTTGCACACGGGACCTCCGAGATTTGTCACCCTTATCCGTTATCCGAGACGGCAAAGTGTTAGATCTTACCTACCTTAGGATTAGGGGTACGGCTGAAAGACAACAGTAAGAAGGATCCAAGAAGTAGCAGTAGAAAGGCTGCAGAAAGAGACAGGAGCCCAGAGGAAGGGGCAACGGGCAAGGGGGAGGGGGGAGGGGGGGGGGCAGAAAGTGGAGACGAAAGCAGACGACAGAACATAGTTAGAGAGCAGGAAGGAATTTGAAAGGAGAAAATTTTAGAGAAGAAAATTTCCGTCGCTATCAGGTTTTGAACCTGAGGACCTATTGAATGAGAGGCAAACACCGTAACCTCTAGACCACCAGAGCCCCCTCTTGATAACTGTTTAAAAGTAAAGTGCATGTATCTCAGCGTTTTTGTTCAAAGGTTCTCAGTGAGGTGAACGAAGATCAGCGCGGAAAGCGACGGATGTTAACCCATATATAGGTATTTCTGGAGTCATCATTTTCTCCTTTGACCTTCCTCGCTTTCTTTTTTTTTCAGAATTTTTCTTCTGAGGTCTCCTCTCCAAAAGCTTTCCAAAATTGCTAAATATGTGATAGATCTGCTGCACTCATCAAACCGAGTACATGTATCTAGGTGGGAAATACGAGCTTTGTTCGCTAGTTTCAAATCAATATCTCACTCTCTCTCTCTCTCTCAATGGCGCTTAAATGACCAAAATTGTGTCGATAGTGCCGTAAAACATCTACCCAATCAATCAAACTCTCTCTCTCTCTCTCTCTCTCTCTCTCTCTCTCTCTCTCTATCTCTCTCTCTCTCATTCTCTCCTCTTCCCTCTCTGTGTGTCTGTGTGTGTGTCTGTCTATTTCTCAACGACTATTAACGATCTCTTCTTTGCATCTGAAGAAGTTCCCGCGCCCACGAGAAAAGCCCACAGGCAAACGCTGAGTATAAAATATCACCTGAATGTCGCGATTCCTTAATTGGAGAACGTGGACGAACATTAGAAACTACACAATGGTAAGTATCATGTACAATATTTGAGTTGTGGGTGGTTAGTTGGCGCTCCAGCGTGGCTTTGCTCCTTCTTAACTTTCAACAAACATCTTTTGTCCTTACCTCTCCTCCTTTTCTTTGAATCTTACTCTCTCGTAACACTTCTAACCGCCGACACTTATACTATGACCCAACTGCATTGCAAGTGCCGTAAAAACTGTTACTAAAACTGATTATACATGTTCAATTGGCTACTTCTCAGATTTTCCAAATACTGTTTGATGAATGTACTTTTAACTTACGGTGATAGTCCTCTAATATTGATCTCCGGATCGGGCACAATTGATTTATATTTATTTATTTATTTATTTTTTGGTCCCGTGTCCCAATTTAATGCCAGATATTTGTAAGTCACATAGATGATATGGGTGGTTCAAGCAACGGGTAATTGATACGTTTTATTTTAAGAACGAAGAAATCTTCTTGCTCTTTTTTGGCTCCTTAGTCAATATGCTTAGCGGCACCTCCACTCGTCCAAATAACTCCACTCTAATTGACACAGTTCCTGGACATTCAAACATATGTTTGACATCCTCCTTTTCATTGCCGCATCTTCGGCAACGTCGGTTGAGCTCTTCATTTACAAAGCTCTTATACCATCTCAAGCTCCAATGATGGTCCGACGCAGTCTCGCTAGCTCAACCTGGTCCCAGCGACATGTGATACTTTGTTCCTGCTTATTAGAATACCCAGAATACACATCTTCCAGGTGCTGGTATTTAGCTCTGCATAGTGGTTCTCTGATTTCCCTCTTGATCATTGGAAAGACTCCTCTGTATGTTGTTGGTTGTATGTCTTCTTCAATCTCTCTAGCTTCATTAGCAGCTTGGTCTGCTGCCTCATTTCCTTCGATTCCGACATGATTTGGAATCCACTGGATTTTTATTGTGGCAGTGGCTTCACTGAACTTGCGTCGCAAATAATTTATGTCTGAGTGTTGGCTAGCAGTCCCTTGCGGAGGGACTGACTGTCAGTCAAGATCAGCACATTGGTTCTACTGCGGCAATTGTCAGCAATCCATTGTGCAGCAGACATCATTGCCTGGCATTCCTCGTCGTAAGATGATGTAAGGAATGCACCTTTAGTTTTAATGATTTCTGTTCGTGGTGGTTCATCATTCATTATCACCACTGCTGGTGCTCCACCTTCGCAGTATCCGGCGACAGCCGATCCATCAGTGAAAATCGTCACATTAGCACCAACCTCTTTGATCACACCCTCTGTCTGCAGCTTCACGTGCCTTTACAGGGTCATCACCTTTACTCTTCACTCCTCTCAGTTCTGTCCGGATTTTGATTTTGCCAAGGATCTCCTATGGACGCATTCTCACCAGATTGTTTGGTCATCCATTCTCTGCTTCAGGGGGTTGGTCTGCTAGATCGGTGCCCATCCGAAACCAACTTTTCCTGTTGTTTTTAGGTTGGTCACATAGCGCAGCGCTTCTGTTGATGTTGCTTTCAGCTGACCTGATACAAGGCGGAGGGCTTTGTTTTGTATTCTGTCCAGGGCCTTTGCATTGTTCTCACTCAACCAAGGCTGCCACGCTGGGGCAGCATAATCCATCTTGCTTTTCACAAAAATCTGATATACCTTCTTGAGCGACTCCTTACCCCACCCTAATTTTGATTTGTTGACAGCACCGATCACCTTCATTTTTGAGGTTGCATTTTTGGACACTTCGTCAATGTGCTTGTTGAAGATTAGTTGTCTATCCAGACAGACGCCCAGAAGGCGTGTAGTGGGGTTGAATGACATCTTTTTTTCCTTCGATCTGAATTATTGGTTGCCACGTTGCTTCCTTCGTCCATGTTGAGAAGAAGCACACTTCACTCTTGGTTGCATTCAAGGTAAGGGGAAGCTCTGATGATGATGATGATGATGATGATGATGATGATGATGATGATGATGATGATGATGATGATGGTGGTGGTGATGTTTAAACATGTTTAACGTTTTTAAGTTTAATATTTTAAACATAAGTATAATAAATGTAATATTTAATTTGAACATATTTTATATTGCCATAAAACTTCATATTCATCATATGCTCAAGTCTCCGCCAACTTTTTGTTATTTCTTATCGTGCCTACTATAACGATGATGATGATGAGGAGGATGATGATGATGATGATGATGATGAGGATGATGATGATGATGATGAAAGTAACCAACTTTGTAGAAGGCCCCCACTTTAAAAGAAAACTTTCCCACAGCATCACTTGTGAAACCAAAAATGTAATCTACCTCATATCCTGTAAAGTCTGTCCAGCTCAATATGTAGGTCAAACTACCACCACACTAAGAGCTAGTTTTAATGACCATAGGTATTCAGTCCAGAAAAACTCCAGCACACCAGTTGGCCAACATTTCAACAGTCCTGGTCACAATGGTAGCCTACCTCCGATTTGCAGCTTCAGGGAATTGAAATAGTCCAATATCCCACTAAAGAAAAACTTAACCAAAGAGAATCAATGTGGATTTGGAACTTGGGGTCTCACAAAATTCTCACTGGCCTTAACATCGACGAGCCCCATTTTAAGGACCTAAAATTTACAACGTAACGTACTAATCACCCCTTATGTTCCTGCAACCCCTTCCCTTTGGCCCTGCCTTTCTGTTATAGTTCTCTCTCTCTCTCTCTCTCCACTTTTTGCCTTCGTGTTTCCTCTCCTCTAGCCTTTTCGACTCATTGATTGTGTTCACCGCACCCTTCCGTCATTATATTCCTTACCTCCATGCATATGTCCCCCCCCCCCCCCCTCTCTCTCTCTCTCCCCCTCCCTCTCTCTCTCTCTCCCTCTTTTCCTTTCCCCCTCTCTCTGCCACCTCTGGCCCTAGTGTTTCTCTTTCTCTGGCCTTTCCGATTTGTGTTCACAGCACCCTTCTGTTATTATATTCCTTACTTCCACGCACCTTTCCACCCCCCCCCCTCTCTCTCTATCACTTCTGGCTTTAGTGTTCCCCTCTCTCCGGCGATTTGTACTCACCGCTCCTTTAAATATTCAGACATTTATGTACGCACTTTAGTTTTTATAGCCTGTGTATATGATGATGATGATGGAGATATTTCCAATATTGTCCAAACCACACCAATACGTAACTTATAGTGAACACTTTGTTGCTGTGGCGTCATCACTCATTTATTTGTTTCTCAAATACTATGTTCCTGATGAAGCCTTATTGGCGAAACGTTGAACTGTGAAAAATATATTTTTTGGGAAATACAACAAGGTCTTAACTGTTTTAATACCTTCTTTATACAATGATGATGATGATGATGATGATGATGATGATGATGATGATGATGAAGATGATGTACTTAGGCCTACTCAGGTAGGGGGTGGAACTTTAAGTAGAACAAAATTATCTTGCAATTTTCATCGTTTTTGTGTCTTTGGGCATTGCAATTCTTTTACTTTTCTTTTTTTCTTATTCTTTATGCACTATTCCAATCTCCTCAGTAATTCTAATACTTTTCTTTGTCACTTTGATCATTATTATATATTTCGTTTTCTGCATTTTGTATTATTGCTGCTATTTATCGATTAGTAAATTTTTTATTAAAGTATTGGCAAAAGATACATTTGAGTTAGTACTCAGGATTTGAGTACTCGAGCACCCACTCGAGTAAGTCGTTATTACTCGGACTCGGACTCGGACTCGGACTCGAGTAAAAAAAATAGTGGACTCGCACACCCCTACCATGCATTTCTTGGCCTCCATAGTTCCACCTTTCAAGCTCCACCCTCTTCCTGTTGCTCCTCCCCTCGGCGATCCTCGCTCACAGGGGACAGTGGCACCACGACGACGAGTACCAATATAATGGCGATGGCGACGACTACGACTGGGGAAACGAATATCATAACGATAACGACCTCGACGACGGTTACGACTACGACAACGGCAACTATTACGACAATGGCAAGGGTTGCGACTACGACTGCAATGAGACCACCACCCCGGCCCCCAGCGGACCTGTGGTTCCACAGCTGCCCAGTGACTGCTCACAGCTCTACGCCGTCTGTGCTGTAATTAATGGCGGGGCAAACGGAAGTAGTCTGGGACAGCCTCCAAACGCTAACCAGACGGGGAACAACACTCAAGGCAGGAAACTCTCTCTGGCCGGAGCTCAACAGGTAGGTCGGGGGGGAGGAGGTGATAAAAAATGAAATATATGGTTTTAACTTCCCAACCAACACTACATGCGTCAGGTTATCTAACACAGTTGAGGACCTCCGAATCTAACGATCGTCTGCGAAAGAACCGAACCAGATGGGTTTAGTGAGAGTATTGTCATTGAAAACTCCATAAAGAAGACCTGAGTTCAAATATGCTCAGTCTGGGATTCGAACAGAGGCAATCCTCTCTTAATCCAGCATGATACCAACTGAGGTAACGGAGCGCCATGGGGTGGGGGTGGTAGTAGGTTTATTTTTACTTATTATTTATTTTTTTGTAAGAGTTTTACGGCACTAGCAACTGCATAAGGTCATATGAGCTGAGCGCGCGGGACACATTAAACAATTATCATTTTGGTAGGAATTTTGAATTTTGCCCAGGTGGAGGCCGGAGCCTACTCTAATCGATTTTAGGACCACAAATGGATATTTAAAATGCGCAACTTGCACACGGGACCTGTGAGATTTCTCTCCCTTATCCGAGAATGAAAAGTGTTTGATCTTACCAACCATAAGATCAGGGGTGCGGATGAAAGTTAGCAGTTAAGAGCCAAGGAGTGGCTGTAGAAAGGATGTAAAGAAGAACATTTTCGGTCGTTGTCAGGTTTCGAACCTGGAGCCTATCAAATGAGAGATGAAAATCGTAACCTCTATACCACGATGCGCTTTGGTGGTTCCCTGTCTACAAATCGTAGTCAATAGTCTGTTTGGGTCAAGAGAAGCACGTTGATACAGTTGTCTTCATTTAGGGCTGGGGAAAAGTAAGACAGGGAGGCAGACAGAAACAACAGAGGAAGAGTAATGAAGTGGAACCTACTACATGCATATTAGGGGCCTTCTCCACCCAACCTCAGGTGTCAATAGATTAGCAACGACTGTGTTACGTGTAATTTGCCAACAAAATCATGGTACGTGAAACAATGTAAATGTCGCCATCGGTACCGGGTTTTTTTTCCTTTACCCTTTAAATAATTTTACGCCACTATCGACTCTGTCAAGATCATTTTGGAGGTGAGCTTTGACCCTGACTGTCAGGCCCAACCTGGGGTGAGTGGGATACACACACAACATCCCAGCAGAAAAACGGACATACTCGGTAAAGTTTCCCCAAATCAGAATTGAACTCAAGTCTTCTGCGTGCGATTATGAATTCAGACGCCGATTCCGGTGAAGACGCCACGTTTCGTTTCTCAGATAGAGGGGGATGTCTTTTAGAATAATCTTTGAAAAAATCTTTGCTTTTGAAATTGAGATTTTTATCTATTATTAGCATTTTCTTTGTGGTATCGTTTGACACCTCATCCCTCCCTGTTTTCCTTCATAACATGCTCAGTCTATCTTTTTCCAAGCCTTAGCTTTCTGAATTATTTACGTGTGGCCAATAAAGTGTTATACGTATGCATATACGTCAAAGACACATGAAAAGCAAACAAAAGACACCTGAAGATGACCCAAAGGAGACCCTTCCCCCCTCGCAACTGCATAAGGTCATATGAGCGCCAGAAGATTAGAGGTGTTACACGGTAGTAACAAACATAAAAAAGAAGGAGGGGAGATAAAGACAATAGATGTTTGATAGGAAAGAAGGAGCAAACCACACCAGAGCACCCTCCAACAACCCACAATAAGTAGAGTAGAGGAAAATGACGATAGTAAGGATTAGGAAAGAAAAACCAGCAGTTCCCTTTTGTAGTTTAGGCGCAGTTATGAGCATGACATTGTTGGGTCAGGCCATTTACAATTCTACTGTACATTAGAACGAGAAATGCCCCCCCCCCCCTTTTGGGAATGGCCTAAAGACACTTCAGTCAGTGGCACCGCCCCGCCTGGGGTCCCCCCCCCCCAAAAGAAAAAAATGTCTCCACTCAGGAACCGAACTCGGGTTTTAGGAGTGCCACAGCGATGCGCCTAACCGGTTTTGTGTCTCAGCAGGATGCTGTTGCAAACAGCCGATTCCAGGCGCTCATCAAGATCTGTGAAGCCCAGACGAGTCTGTACGCTTCCAACTGCGCATGCGCGCTGCTGCCGTCCGCCTGTCGCGACCAGCGGTTCCGTGCCCTCGCTTCCTGCTCCGCCTACCTCACCACAATCGCACGGCGTCCTGGCTGTATCTTCGGCAACCCCAACCCTCCCACGCCAGTAGAACATCCGCCCTCTCTAGTTGTCCCCATTCCTGCCCCAATCCCTGTGGAACAGCCCCCCTCCCCCTTAGTCCCCATTCCTGTCTCCGTCCCCGTGGGTCAGCAACCCCCCTCGCCCGGGACCTCTATCCCAGTAGGTCAAGGTCAACAACCCCCCTCCCCTGCAGTCCCCGTCCCAGTGGCGCAACAACCACCCTTTCTTCCCCTCTTCGACGCAGCTCGCCAGGAGCTCTGCGCCCAAGCTGGCGACGCCATTAACACTGACCCGTCCCTCATGATTCTCTGTCGGGCGGGGCCAGTGCTTCTTGCCCGTAAGTAAGGAATTCTATGTTCACAAGAAGAATAAACGAATAACGTGTACCATTTGCTATTTTTATTGTAGTTGTAGGTATGTCTCTCTTTAAAAATTAAGCGAATTTTGATAAAAAAATAATATTCTGAGAAAATCTCTGCTCTGTTTTGTTTTTGTAAGTGTGGTTTGTAATACATGTATTAGAGGTATAACAAGAGAGTAGCAAACACAAAAATGGAGGAGAGATAAGGACGACAAATGTGTGACAGGAAAGAAGCAAACCGCATAAGAATACCCACCAACCACCCACTGAGGAATTCTACGTTCAGAAGGAAGAACGAACGAATAAACGTGTACATTGTATTTCCTTTATAGTAGGCATATCTTTCTTGAATTAATAAAGCGAATTTTGATTAAAAATAATATTCTGAGAAAACTTCTGCTTTGTTTGCTTTTGTAAGAGTTTTACAGCACTTGCAAACAAATTAGGTCGTGTAAATGCAGAAGATTAGGGGTGTCACAATAGAGTAACAAACCCAAGAAATGAGAGAATAAGGATGATAGATGTTTGATAGGAAAGAAAGAGCAAACCACACCAGAGCACATCCCAGCTATCCACAGGAATAATTCTACGTTGAGAACGAAGAACAAACGAATAGGCGAGTACATTGTTGGCCTACTATCTTTACTGAAGGCATGCCTCTCATAAAACAAATCGAATTTTGATTTATAGTATTACTCTGAGAAAATCTTTTCTTTTTCACCTCAAGATGATGTGCCTTATGTGACCACAGATGAAATGAAAGCTGCCAATGAGAGAATATCAAAGCTTTTGTTTATTTTTTTTCTTTGTCTGCGATAAAGGGGGACACATTGACTAGAAAACGATTATTTAATTTGTTAAAATGCTAGAAGATCCCACACACAAGAAAGACAAAGACAATACAGAAACATAATGAAATGACGATTTAGTAAAGAGGTGGAATCTACCAGTACTGCCTTCCAACCACGAGCAATATTTGTTAGTCATCTTTTTCAAGTTGTTGAAACACAATAACACAAATAATTCTCTGACTCCTTACACATGGATGCGAATCAAATTGTTATTTTCGGTACATGCGCAAATTTGCCCATTCAGAATGTGGGAAAAAAGAAAGTAAGACAACACAACGAAAGGCAAGATGGAAGCCACCTACTGACATCATAGTTCGAGCGCCAGATGAAAAAGCTTGTTTTGCTTCATAAAGTTTTTTTCTTTGGTGATTCTAACTGAGTTTTCATTGCTGATTTCAAATCTAATGGGGGCCAAATGCTAAACTTTGAGCATTTTTGTTTAAAAGTGAAAATCCAAGATGGCCGCCGTAGAATTTCGAGTAAAAGATCTTGTGAGGGATATCATGCATGCAAAGACATAAAAATGTACAAACTGAATTAAATAGCATTCAGTGTCACAAAAGTTACCACATTTGATGAAATACACATCAAATATTCGATAAAATGGCAACTTCAAAGAAAACAAGATGGCCGCCATATAGTTTTCATAAATGTGCTGATCCGCAATACACTTGAAATCGTCGCATTAAAATCACGACCTCGCATGGATAAGTTCTGTCTCGTGGCAGAGGGCGACACACACACACCCACACACACGTGTATATATATATATTTATATATAGTCTACAATATTACTTTAAAGTATTTCATCAAAGACGTGTGGATGCAGGCGCTGCATGGATCGGAGATAGTAAAGACAGTAGCGAGCATAGTTGACGTTCCAGACTCAAAGATGTAGGGGAACATCTTTTCCACAGCAAACAAGCCCGATCAAAGGCCATCATAACGAACACTGGGTCAAGGAGAACTCAACCCAAAGTCTTGTGGTTTTGCTCTGGGTGCTTTTGGTGACGAGATGTCGCGTGAGTGCAGCCACGGTGTGCACGTCAGTGTTGGGGAGAATGGGTCGCAGTAACTACTCAACAAGAAGTCTCAATGCTTTTATATTTTGTGGGTATTTTTTCCGGGTCAACATTTTTGGCACCCCTACAAATGCTGAGCCAAGTATGTCTTCAATGCCACTTCCTCCCATCAGGTATCCCACAGCACTAACAAAACTCCTCAGCATGTGCATACCAACAAGTCTTGGGATGAACTTCTGAAACTGTTCCTTGTCAACCCATGTGATGTGGACAAGTTCTTTGTACAGCTGGTAGTCACTGGTGAATATTGTCCATTCATGACCAGTGAGCTATGTCGGACCCTGGGCTTCAACCATTGCTGTCTTCACGGTGTCTGGCTCAGATGGAATCATGTCCAGGAATGGGCTGTACACCACATCTGTCTTTGGTTGGGGTTGTTGTTCTGCACTGCGGATATGTTGTGTGTTATAACCTCCATACTCAGGTCTTGCATCTTCGCCGAGTGCCTGTTTAAAAAATGACAGATCTTGAGTTGCAGTTCTATTCAGAGAAACGTGTGGCAAGAAAGACCAGAAATGGGACATGTCGCAGGTTCAGTTCTTCCGGCAAAAGTGGTTTCGTGTTTCCTGTGTACCGTTGAACTGCAACGTCACCAAGTGTCAGATTATCGGACTTGTTTCTGTTTTGCTGAGACGCCTGGTGGCTGGGATATCTTGCATTTCCCACACCTGCTCTGACTTCTGGGTGTTGGCTTGTGCCAGTATCATTGCTGAGCCGTGCGTTGATTTCTGGCCTTTTGGAGATATTTGCATGTCAAAGTTGTCAGCTACAACTTGAACAAGTCCATGTTTACTGTCAAAGTAGGCCAGTCCTCATGGAACAAATGCCATAGCAACACTAACTGAACACCGAAAGCGCCTTAGTTCGTCTTATGAGGTGGTGACCCCATACGTGTGAAGCTCGTCTATAAATTTCCTCTGTTGACTCAACAGGACACTAAGTCCAAGTTGCAAGTTTGTGAAATAGCTGCTGATTGTACTCGTAACAGTGTGGCCGATCATTGCTGCTGGCAGTATAGAATCCAGTTTGGGGTCTGAAGCTGCTAGGACCGATAGCAAAGGCTGCACTCATTCATGACAAATCCCCTTGACAGACGAGTTGGGGACGTATGGCGATTGTGCTTTGGACATTGTGCTTTGGACATTGTGCTTTGATCACACTAACCAAGCATGATATGGCTCATCCATTGCAGTCTTCTTCATCATTCACAATACGCATCTAGACTGAAGCCGTGGTCCTTAAGACGAGGATGGAAGCCACACCTGGTGAGACAGGATCAGCAATTCTGGGTGTAGCTTCTCAGATACATGGTTCATGGGGTGTACGTCGCGATTTGTCTTTCCCTCAAGTTCAATATATAGCGTTCATGGACTTCCACACTGTTCCACATTCGTGATTTGTTTTATCGAATCTCGTCAACCAGCATACCGAAGATATTGTCATGCGTTGTAGGTGAGCTAGTTGATTGCGTTGGATAGTTTGTGTAGAACCAGGAGTGGCAGTCTCTCTGATACCTAACGTCTGCTGCGTTCAAATCACTGACTGTTGATGACACACGGAAGCAGACATCCATTCCCCATTTGTCCCCACGTTCCTTGGCACGTTTTTTGTAGTTCTTCTTTGGTGATCGTCCTCCCTTTCTCCTCTCCAGTTCGGCATAAGAAGGCTTTTTCCAACGATCTGGGTGTTTTTGGGAGTATCAGTGAGCATGCTTCTCCACAACAACAAAAAACAATGTTCGTGAAAATTAAACGAACTAGTACTGCCCCTATGACGTTTGGGTTCTTCTTCAGAAAGTTCTTCAGTCTTTTGCTTTAGTAAAAATCGCTTAATATGGCCTCTGGAACAATGTGTGCTCATATAGTTCTTGTAACACAGTATAATCTCAGCATCTTCGGGAAGTCTCTGATTGAGTCCATCATCTCGTTGCTGGCTTGCTTCCAGTAGACCACTAATCCGTCTCGATTTGATCAACGGTGGGTTTTTTTTTAAATCGCATCAGTTTTTGTTTAAAAGTAGTTGAGTGAGACACTGTGTGTGTGCATGTGCATGTTGCATGAACCAGCCTGTTCGCATCACGACCTCGTGGTGACGTAGCGTTTTCCTACATTCTTTGTTTCTACGGAGGTGTGGTGTGACGAAGCACTGTCTGCCAATGTCTCCTTGCTTTGCTAGTTGAGTCCATGCCATATTACAGCAGGCTGTGCTGTGCACCTTTCGGTGCATCCTGTGACATCACGGCGAGAGGAGCTGTTAGCGTTAGACCTAGATCTAGTACTGTTATAGCGCAATCAGACAAACATGCGAGTCGGTTATAGCGGAATATTGCTGCTGCCGTGAACAGTGGATAGGCCAATTATACATCATGCAAACCCTCGCCAATAAAGAAACTTGTTGGTTATCTTA